TGGGCGGTTCATAGAACTAGTCCTGAACGGCCAGTTCACCGACCAGACGGATTTCAGGCCGGTATGGCCCTAAAAGAATAATAATAATAATAATAATAATAATAATAATAATAATAATAATAACATTGTGACCCGTTGTCCAACTTGCAACCCGACCCAGCTCGAACCGATTGGACAAAAAAAAAATGAACCGGGACTGAACCGCGACCCTGAGGGTCCGGTTCAACGAACCGGCCCTTAGGAGGCACGGCCGGTTCAGCCGTGAACATGTCTAGGTTCATATGATAATATAAAACCGTGGAAAAATAAAGTTAATTTGTTAGTTAATAACATACTTCATTGTCACATTTTTCAGGATAGCTTTCAAAATTTTAATTAAATAACCAAAACACAATTTCTTATAAGGATGGCAGCGGTTCGGGTTCGGATCGGATGGAACCTCAGGGCACCCAAAACCAAAACCCAAACTTAAAAACCAAAACCAAAACCAAAACTGTTTCGGGTGAAAATCCTTCACCAAAACCAAAACACGCGGATACCCAAAAACCAAACGGATACCCAAAAAACAAAAAATATTATAATAAAACACCAAAGACAACAACATAAAACACGATAACTTAGAGAGTACCAGGCAACCAGTCACAAATTAGCAAGTACCAACGTACAGTACAAGCCATAAAGGTAGTAGAGTACATAGCTAAGCCAAGCCATCACGGGAGACGGGGAGAAGATAAGAGGGGGAGGAAATTTCCACTTATATAGCTAGGGTTTTTGGTGGGCTTTTTGATGGGCCGTCTATTTTGGGCACCCAACGGAGCACCACGGGCGAAATATAGGATCCGCACCAAAACCGAAGACTTTCGGGTACCCGAAACCGCAAAACCGTTGGTGAAATTTGAGAACCAAAACCGAAAACCGCAGAACCAAAAACCGCGGATATCCGAACCGAAACCGAACCGCTGCCATCCCTATTTTCTTATAATTCTATAAAAACAATACTAGATCATAACCTTTTTAAATCGAAAATCAAAGTGAAAGCTAGAGTCAAAATTTTTGAAGTAAATTATTAAAAAAACTGATCTATAATTTATTTTATTTTTTTACAAATAAAAACTATACTGAAAGTGAAAATATACATATGTGTGTGTGAATGTAACTTGAGTAATAAATGCAGAAGAAGTTAATATA